GCTATAAAGATTATTACCAAGTCTCTGCTGTAAAGATTATTACGTAGTCTCTGCTGTAAAGATTATTACGTAGTCTCTGCTATAAATATTATTACCTAGTCACTGCTATAAAGATTATTACCAAGTCTCTGCTGTAAAGATTATTACGTAGTCTCTGCTATAAAGATTATTACGTAGTCTCTGCTATAAATATTATTACCTAGTCACTGCTATAAAGATTATTACCTAATCTCGGCTATAAAAGATTTTTACCTAACCTCTGCTATAAAATATTATTATCTAATATCTGCTATGGAAGATTTCTTGCGATAGGTCATATTGATTAAGTAATTTCTGTCGTAAATTTGTACACTTATCCTGCCCACATCGCTAGTCTTTCAAGAAGTCATTAACTGTACGTATAATGACAGATATTGATTAAAAACATGTCCCTTAATATTATCGCTGTGAAATTGATACGGGAAACAATTGTGTCAACCTTAATTTAAAGTTTGTAGGTGCCACGGTGAGCGATTAAAAGCGAAGTCTCATGCAAATCATGAAAAGCTAAAATTTGCTTAATATTTCGTGAGGCCTGATATTAAGATTCATCAATCACTTCTATGCTATACACCTGAAACGTAAACAAGCTTTGAATGCCGCACACAAATATAAAATATATAATTTTTGCAAATAAGTTAACAAAAATGGTGCATAATCGACCATTGTACATGTCAACTTACGTGTCATTGATGTGCATAAGCGTGATTATGACCAGGACTACCGTAGTGAGTATCACTAGTGTAGGACAGTTGATGTTTCGTCCGATACGTAACAGTCCCTTGGGCGACATCATCCCTTTTTTTCTTGTAAGGTCCCAGGGCGCGGTTAGTTTTTGCGATACTTAAGAAAATGGATGAACTTTGGATGATCGCGCTTTGGATCGATGATAAATGGACAATCGCTGGATGAACTATGAAATTTGTGTTCGAAATTAATTTCAGGTGAAGAATTGCATCTGTTGGTGCCCACTTTGCAGCGCCATGGTAGTTTTCATGACATCTCTTTGTGTTTTTTGTCTGTTGTTTACGCTTAGATTGCAAAACACTAGAGGCATTCAGTTTGCTCTACACATGGAATACCAGATCTCCTTCATATGTTATGCTAAAGCAGTCCCACTTTTAGAAATATTTTATTCTCTTCACTAGCTGAAGAAATTAACAATTACACCAGCTGTCACGATTGTGTAAAAGAAGAACAAATTAATGGTCATTTTATTTCAATGAATGAGTTTTCTTTTTGTAAATAATTTTTTAATTTTTAAAATTTTTTATTCAAAATTTATTTCAAGATCGCTCGGCGTGCTTCTCTGGTAATCAGCAGAGCAGCGCGGTGTGATACTTTAATTTATAGGTTATAATTTGGTATTATAATATGTAGATAAAATTGCATTGGCCATACGTACGTATGAAGAGCGGATAGTTGCGCGAATAATGAAGTCTATCGCTTCTGGGCTCGTTAATTGCAGTGAATTTGTAAACTAATTATTGACGGATTTTTGCTGAAAATTATTTTAATTTAATTTATCTGCTAAGAATATCGTTTCTCTTGATCAATATGATTCATGCGCACTATTTATAATTTGTATGACTGGAATGAGAATTGGAAATTAGATAAATTTGCTTTACCACAATTGTATTATGATGAAATTGTGTTAAAATAACAGTTCGGATAGCTAATTAATGTAAACATGCCGAACACTTGTTTCCAGTTTTTGTGGAGGCATTGGTCGACATAGGTTACATTTTCCCTTACTTATAGTTCCCTTATAAGTTACGAAGTAAGCAATCACACTTATAGTTCAAGATGTCAATAACGCATTTTCGTTTTCTTTGTATGTGATACGATGGAAATTTTTTATATATGCGACTGAAAATCTTTATTTTAATACTTTAGAGTATTTAAATTCAATTACTTATATGTACTAAAAATATATAATTGTGGAAAAACTACTTGGCTTGGAGGCCGAGTTAGATTTTCGCGACCATAAAGGGAGGCCATGTAAACTTCAGACCAAAGATCTATGTGAATGATGTAGCGCGAGGTCTATATGATACACGCAGCGATATGAGTAAGTAGCAATATGAAATAATATACGTTTAAAAACTACTTTTTAAAGACAACGCTTCCAAAGAATCCAGTATCTCCAATCTTACAGATGTACAATGAATTTCTCATATAATTTTCGAAAATTAAAAAAATTACCTTTTCAATTTTTTATATATATGTATTTTTTCAAAATTATTTATTCTGCTAATTGATTCGTGCATTGCCTCTGATTTCACACCAGTGTGCAAAATTTCAGATCAATTAGACAGGTAAAAGTGTGTCAAATATCAGTTATAAGATTTGTAGCTGACAAAATTATTTTTTCAATTTTTTTAATATTGAAAAAAAATATTAATTTCTAAAATCATTTATTTTGACATTTAGGTTGAGGGCTCGTATACAACAGGAGGTTGAGGTCTCGTATACAACAGGAGGTTGAGGGCTCGTATACAACAGGAGGTTGAGGGCTCGTATACAACAGGTGATTGAGTGTTTATGTTGCTCAGTAGCACAGGTGTGTCGGACACCTGCGTCCTTTCAGCAATGTATTTTCCCTTGAGTTATCGTTTGTGAAGATTTGCATTGTGAGATAAGATAGGGGATAAGATTCCCGCTAAGCAGCATGTAAGTAAACTAACGAGGTGCTAATTTCAGGGTGACGAAATATATGGTACGATTTGGTTTATGAACAGTTGTTTATTTCTTATCGTTTAAATAATATTTTATTCAATCATGAAAAGTAAATTAATGCGGGATTTGACACGGGTATATAATTTTTGTGTAATTGTCTCAATTTCAAGCGGAAATGAAAACGCTGGCAATTAACCGTGCGTTTTAATTACATGACAGAGAATGATTTTCAAAGCTTTTTGGATCAGTTGTACCGTATTTTCAGACTGGTGCACGACCGCGTCCGCGACATGAACGCAACCGCAAAAGTGTCGATCTTGTGATAGCTGCGCGCGTGAATCATAAAACAGACTTGGAAAAGTGATCTGCTGGATCAATGGATGACGCCGCAAATCAGTCATCTGTAAAAAATAAGAGGAAGTGGCCGCGACAGTTTCGTTCCGTTACACATCGAAGTGCACTGAGTGGAAGATCAACATTAGTAGCTTCAATAAGTGTTATTCTTGCTGGAATAATTAATAATTTTTCTGCAGAGTATATCATCGAATTGCTCGGCTACAATTTCCATAGAAGTGTAATTTTACCGAACTATGCTAGATAATTTGTTAATTGGCTTGATTTAATTTGATAACATCATAGATCATTCATCAAGAGCTCATTCATCAATTCATCACTGCATATATGCCTTAGACAATCAGCTGTCGTCAGAAATAAATTCACGTAGATAATGTTGATAATTTTATTGATTTACCACTGCACTGACGTCGAAATGAACATTTTCATGTAAAGGTAATTTTTCCGAAATATATTTTTATTTTCTACAGAAATTTAATAGTTTTTTCATTATTGCTTAAAACTGTTCTCATTAACTTCTTAAACAATCTTTAAAACTTTACTGAGCTTGAATTTTACACAGTAAATGGTTCATACCATCCACTGGAAAATTAGGCTATTGATTACCATTGGCCTGCATTAAAAAATTCACGCATTACGGAATCGAACTTGTGTCGTCATAGAAGTATGATACAGAAATGATCAACCGATTTCGCGTCACTCAGTAAAATGCATGGGTCATACTGTCCAAACACTGACACACTTTCTGCGCGTAGCTCTGATTCGCCATTTGGTCGGGCTACGTTGGGTTAGGATGACACACACAGGAGCAAAAAATATAACTCAGTACTCACTGCAGTGAGTGACAGAGAGCACATTTTCTCGTCGACGAAAACTTGAGGTCACGGACGGACGGAAAGACGGACAGACAGACAGACGGACATGGCGAGCACAATAGTGCATTTTTTTCATAAAAGAGAAAATGCGCTTAGAAGTGCTTTGCAATTTGGAAAAAATTTCGCTGATTTCTCTGAGCGTCCCCTGCAGTGAACCTTCTTTCCTCCGTCGATCGCAAGTGTAGACTAACTGGAGGCTGAGCGCCTGCCTGTAGAGGCCGCACACTTGGACGCGGTGAGGCCAGCGTGAGGCCATCCATGCCTACAGCGCTGCTTCCTCAGCTGTTGCATGCGAGCTCGCAAATGATGGAAGACACGAATGATTTTACAGACTTTTCATACTTGCAGACAGTACACAGCTCATTGATGCTGTGAAACAGCCGCTGCTTCAGGTGGACAGATGCATAATGGAATTTTTTTTGCTGCCATCAGCAAAGTGAATCAATATCAATGGCCGGGAGGGTGGAAACAGATCTCACTTTCCGTGACGAGACTTGTTCAAACATTAATGCATAA